TTAATACTTTCAGTCCGGAGGATTTGAATGCATTATGGCTTATACCTGTCATATGAGTATGGAACTCAAAGTGGTAAGTTACTTCCATCATCTCACACCCAGCTTGTAACATTACCTATTAAGGTGAAACAAGGAAGAATAGTGTAGCCATTTTTCTTTGTTTTTACTGAATGGCATAATCACATATGATTATGGTACTTAAGTTTTAAAAAGTTACATGCCCATGTAACTTTTTTTTTCTTTGAAGAAGGCATCAGCACTTAGTTGATAGGACTGATTGCTTGAAAGTGAAAGAAAGAAAAAGTGGTTCTGTCAAAATTTGTTCAAGAGTCAAAAGAAAGAACATGTAGGAATGAATAAAATTCAAGGTGTTGGAAAGGGACTGCACAAGTTCCTCTAAAGAAGAAAGACCTTTTGAATTGGGATTCCAACTATTGAAATCTGAAACATGTCAAAATCACAAAATTAAGCTGAAGCATAACATTATGGCAAGAGGAAGACATGTTGTAATTCTTTTATTAAATGTTTTATGTCACCTGTTTGAGTTTGAGACATGTTAAAGATTTTGCTGACTGGGATGGTGATGTCTTCATCAGAGGGTATGCCTCACTTTCTGGAACTTTTACATTCCAACAGCTATGAAGTGCAATACTTTCAAAACAGGACTTTCTTGTCTTTGATACCCTGCTTTCATATGAAAGGAGCGTATTATGCAGTAGACTGCATGCAGTATGATCCCACCAGTTTAGAAGTATCCAAGTTCACAGATTGAACTACAAAAGACATTCATCAATAAAGTCCTCATTAGGGCACTTTTCCATCAAGGATATAACCCAAAATGCCCCACGGAGGCAGGTCTTCACTTAGCAAGACCTTGGGAATTTATCCATGGAGTGTCAGAAATAAGTATCTTTTGCTGCATGTTGATCATTTCTTTTTTATATACTCTTTGAATGGTTCTTTAGCGTTCTAATGAATAAATATCTATATGCAGATTACAGCATTTTTAGTTAATATGGATGGCCATGCACATTTTTACTAGTATTTTTTTAGGTTTGAGTTTTTCAAGTTTATGACAAAGAATTGGTGGCATTCGTGAATGCAATTTTATAAAACATGGAAACAAAACCAACTTCTTCCTGGAGGAACACTATGAACTGGTGTTAACCCTTTTTTTTTAATACCTAATTTGTACTTTGTGCCCATTCTTGCTTATTTTTGTAAAAATATCTACAACTGCACCTAATATGCATATCAACATCTGATTCAAATTTATTTCCTGTAGAATATCAGCTGTAAATAGACAACTATCTTGTAGCCATGGCTACATTCAGATGGTGAATTATTGGATAGATCCTATGATCTAGAACAAGTATTTCATGAATGAATTTATTGGTGAATTTTGCATAAAATAATAACTTGCCAATAGGGCATGAGGTAAATTAGAGGGTAATAAATGTTTGGATGGCAAGTATGAGGATGCTTTCTTACTCCTTTCTACATTCCGCATGTCTGTGGTGCTGTGCTTTTTGTCTAGCATTGCTTCTTTAAGAAGTATCCAATTAAATTACACTTTCTTATGTTCTTAATTGTTGTCCATTCAAAAGCCTGACATCAGCTGTAGCTTCAAAATTTTACTCCTCAGTGTCCTTTGAAATGGTGATTCATCTGAGCTGAAAATCAAAGACAATGCTCTGCTTAGATTTTATATTTATGTTTTTGAATGCCCCAGGACATTGCACAATATTACAAATGTGTCATAGTGACCCAAAGATGGTTGTTGATGGAAGTTCCACATTTACATCCTCAATAGGTTTTTTTTTGTTGCTCATTTCCATTTATTTCTCATTACTGCTTCAGAGATGGCAGATAGTTGTCAATTCCTGTTTTATTTTCCATAGAAAAATTTATTTAAAGAATCACTTTAAAACAATTAGTCATTAAGAAGATCACCTCGTCACTTTAATTCCATGAAACCGGAATCTCTATCACAGCATGGAGTCTTTCTCTTATTTTCTAATGCCTTGAGTCAGTACCAAATGGGTCAAGTACTTCAGCTTGCCTTGCATGAAACACAAATGGTACTCTTCAAGAGGAAGTTTGAACAGCAGAGAACCTCTCCCTCTCTCTTCAAATGCTGTGTTTCATTTCTAATTAAATCATCCAAGTATTCAGACAAAATGGTTTCTAGACCTTTTTCCAAGACATCTTTCACTCTCCAGTTTTGGCCTGCTTAAACTTGTGAGCCTGGCTTTTCTAATTCAGTACAATCCCATCATCAGCCTCCTTGACAGTGGGACAAAGACAGGACACAGGGCAGACACATGGAATAATCAACATTATAATACATAAAGATAAGAATGCATGCTTGGGACAGTAATATATATACTCTATATACTCGATGCTGAGGGACTATAATCAAGATCACAGTCCCTCAGGCAGAGATGTCTCACTATGAACCTGTAGGGAGCCCTAGTGGAGCTCAGGGTTCCCAAGGCCCATTTCTGGAATGATGTGTTAATTTTTATTTAAGTGTACTACACCTATATTCCTAAATGTGACCCAAAGCAGTGTGCATGTTACCCCAACACTAAGCTGATTCTCACCGTAAAAGCACCTGTCAGGAGAAAGAGCCCATTGCCTTCCTGACTCACTCCCCTGCCTCCTGGGTTTATCCTTGGTTGATGAATTGAAAATCATCACTCTTTTCCCCCTGGAGAAATGTTTCATGACAACTGAAGAAATAACTTGCCTCTTTACAATGTCAATTTGAGTGAAACAAACTGAAATTCTTGCAAGCTAAATTGTTTTATTCCTGAAAATAAGCATTTCTTCACAATTTCAAAGTCCAGTGGCTAAGTGCATGACCAAGGATATGATTCTGCTATCATTTTGCTTTTCACTCAGTTTCATTAATTTTGAAGAACTTTATGGAAATTGACTATCATCCCTGGACAGAATAGTCAAGCAAACATTGTGATGCCAAGGTTTGACATGTCTTCGTAATTAGCCTAGCGTTAGAAAGATGAAATCCACCTAATGCATTTTATTGTTGGTTTATAAGTGAGTTTTTGTAATAGTCTATCTTTAGTAAATGAAAATCATCCCTTGCTTTCAAAAAAACTGCAGATTATTGCTGGATAAACTTATGAGAGTCTCAGCAAATGAGCAACCTTATTTTCAAAGAGAATATGATGGAATAGAGAATAGAAATTAGGGGCAATTAGAGAAGATGAAGCTTACTCTAACCATTCAACTGATGCACTAAGGAACTAATATATATTTTTTTAAAAAAACCTGAGCAGGGCAGGCAAGAAAAGGTGTTTGCCTGAACAGATCCCAAATCCCAAGGCAGTCTGGCTCTTCTTGTCTCCCATTTCACGCATTTCCTATGACCCTGTCTCATTCTCCTTCTTGCTAGGACATGAATTCATACAGAAGTAGGGCAATGTGTAGCTTAGCCTCAAATGGGGCTAAGAATTCCAGGTGATTTTTTCTTTCCCAGCCAGGGACATCCCACTGCTCAGTTTCTTTTAAATGGAATGATGTATTACCCACAGACAAACAGATCAACTAATGAGAAAATCACTTAACAATTGCTATTCATCAGCCCAGGCACATCTCACAAGTCTTGGAAAGTACTAGCCAAATTAGCTGACAGAACAATAATCAGGCAAGTTAGTAATGAGGATTAGATTATACCAGAACTTGCCAATATTTATTGGTAAGGATATATGCATGTATACAACCATAGGGATATCTATGAGAAGTGCTGCCAATGGTAGAAAAGGTCTTGACTTAAAAGGAGTGCACAGAATAGGAATCAGCACAGAAGAGCACATAGACCTTCCTTGTTTCTGGCTCATGAAAATGAAAATAACAGGTATATTATGAAAGTCCATGGCAGGTTTTAACCCTTCCCCTGGCACATACCAGTAAACATTTAGGGATGCTGGACATCAAAACACACCCATGCTGGGAAAAGTGTTAACATGACCTTTCATGGAAAAAAAAGCAACCTTCATTTGATTTGTTGACTGAAATGAGTCAATAATGTTCTTTTTTTTGTCTCAACTTTACTCTTGTTCAGTAATGCTATTCTGGCAATATTACCTATGTATGGCTGCCTTTGAATGGTATAAAATGAGATATGATGACTACATATTCCTCAGTAAGGGTTAAAATAAATTCACATCAAAGCAAGGGGTATCAGGTTGTCTCAGTTGACATTTGTAAATGCTCTAAAATTGATTTTGCCTGTGATTCTCAATTCGCTTCACTTTACTTATGTAGAAACAGCAAGAGATATCCCTGTTCCCCTGGAAAAGAACGCAGAAGCATGGTTGTGAATCCAGTTCTGGGTGAGTGCATCAATGACCCTTATGTTGTGATTTTGTCCTTGTAGAAAAACATGAAAATATGGGACCAAGAAAGAGGATTTTTTTCATGGAGAATAGTTTTAAAGTAGTTTTTTGTAGAAGATCAATGAAGAAAATTAGTTGTTATTTATTTTTGTAGTTGTTCAAACATGACACCAAAGAAGATCATTACTTGTCAGTGAATGTGAAGTAGAGAATGGTCAGCCCTATTTGCATCATATAGAGTTGATAATTAATGCAATAGAGTAACCATTTGATTGGTTGCTGGATCATGAAATTTCACTTTAGGACGATTGCAGACCATTGATATTGCATTTTAAATATTGACTGGAAAGAAAGGAGTAGACCAGACATGTACACTTGAAAATAAGTTTAATTATAGATATTGGTCAAGTATGATCAGTATCTTTTCAAATGTGAAGACTCCTTACTGCAAGAATTCTTGAGTATTAAGACTTTGTTGCAAGAATGAGAAGCTTAATTTAAGAGTAATCCTGCACCAGATGTTAGTTTATAGTCAGGTTCTTGGGTAATTTGAATTAATAGTCAGCAAAGTTAAAGGCACTTTTGAACAGGAGATAATGTATTTTTATTTTTGTGTTCTTTTCTTTCCCCTTGAAGCACTCTCCTCTGGAGAATTATCATTAGAGAAATATGTGGAGGATCTAGGAAGCGAATTGTCAAATCCTGATGTGGCAGTGAGAGTACAAGGATTGGAGAAGCTATCAGGGACTCTGCTTGAGCTGGGCAGTCATTTCTTATCTGAAAAACAGTGCACACATCTGGCCACCTTCTATTGTTCACGAATGAAGGATCATCACATGCTAGTGCCTCCTTCCTTAGCAGGCACCCTTGCTCTGGTATGTGGATAACATATCCCCTTTTTTAATTCCTCATTCTTCATGAAAATGTAAGCAATGGAATAGGCTTGAGGAAGGTAGGCAGGGGAATCATAATATTTTAAAGAGAGGCAAGAACTGAAATGTTCACACTGCTTCATCATCATCATCAATGCAGCCTGCAGTATAGCTATCATTTTTCTTTTAAAATTTGACAAAATTAACAATAATATTGCCATCATAACAAAAAATAGTCCTCCCCCTAAGCACCTTGAGTGAGTATAGCCTTCTTTCCATTGCTTATAATTTCTTGCTGCCATCATGAGTAATACCATAACAGTGGGACAATCTTTCACCATCTTTGATTCTGTCTGCAATGCACAAGGACTCCTGCATAGGTTTTGATAGGCCAATGAAGGAAAGATGATTGGGTCTATCCCACCCACTATGTCCCAACTGTTTTCCTTTTTTTGGAATGGCATATTACTTTTTGACTCAATCATGGATCTAGCCAAAAGGTTTTTCTGGGATGAGTATTATTCAACTCATAAAAGCCATACCTGAAACACTAGTGGTTCTCTAATGGTTGTCTACAGACCCCTGAGAATTTGCAGGCTCTACAAAGAGGGTCTGCATGATGTTATTGGTTGAATGGAATTCAGTGTTAGGACATTATGGAGAAAATCTATTTAAAGCACAGCAAATGAACCAACTCCATCCCTTTTCTTTTCTCATTTTCTTTACAGTTGAAGCAAGTCAATTTATCCAGTGCAGATGCCATCAAGCTCCTTCAGACATTGTTCCATGAAGTGCCCTGTCAATCTCAGACTCCTTCTGATCGATGCCAATATTATTCCATTTTCCGTCAAGCTGTGACCACCAAATTGAATGGTAAACACTCTCTGTTGTGGCTCAATTCCTTTTTCATGGTGACAAAATGCACAAGTTGCCTTTTAGTGGTCTTAAAATGTTAAGTGGATTATTCTTAACAGACTTATGTGGATGACTCTAGCATCACCAAACCAGATTAATGCAACTGCCAAGTGTTAGTCCTAACCCAAAACCACTGTACATGATTGGGACATGTGAATCACCCACTTTCAAAATAAACTTCAAGGTCTTAATCTTTTAGTAAAGGCAAAGTCAGTAGGAGTGGCTGAAGCCTTTGAATGTGGAATATTGAAATACACCTCACCTAGGCATAAAAACATGCTCCTCTACACAGAGTAATCTGAAGAAGAGAAAAGTGTATTGGTACAGGTATAAGAATGATCAACAAGATTTTTCAAGAAAGCTTAGAAATGACACAGGTGGATATATTTTTAGTGATTCTCCTTAACAAAATAAGCCATTGTTGCAAGGTGATATTTCATTTTCAGGGATGAAGGAGATGGGTACAAGTTTTGTCCTGGGCTTTGTTCAAGCCATGGATGGGGAGAGAGAACCAGGTTGTCTTCTCTGTGCATTCTCTGTGTTCCCTGTTGTAGCTGCTTCTATTGATGCTAAAGAACTCACAGAGGACCTCTTTGAAGTGGTTGCCTGTTACTTTCCTGTCGATTTCACTCCAGTAAGTTTATGACAGGGTTGGAACAAGGAGTTTTCCTTTGTGAGGAACAGTTCATGTCCTAATCGCTGCCCTTTTTATCTTTTTTCAAACACTAAAGGCTGCATCTGACAAGTATGCCATAACAAGGGAAGACCTTAGCAAAGCTCTGGAATCATGTTTATCAAGCACATCAAGTTTTTCTCCTTACTGCATTCCCTTGATACTGGAGAGGTTATCTTCTGACTTGAATCAAGCCAGACTTGATGCTGTTTCTCTTTTGGTAAGTGTGAATTCAGAAGCATGCATGATGACTTTCATGCTCACTCATTATTAGTGATACTATATTGGAACCTACCATACTAAAACCATTTCCACTACTAAAAGGCCCTTCATGAACTATTTCAAGAGCTAAGTCATATTTGAAATACAAAATGGCTTCTTCAACCCTTAAGTCTTGCCTTGGAAAAAAATGAAATCTTGATTTTCTTGATACAGAATGCTTGCTGTCAGAGGTACTCCAATCAAGATCTTTGGGGTCATGGGGAAGAAATATGGCTTATCTTGCAGAAAATCCTTTTCACATCTCCAGATGGTGATTTAACAGAAGCTACATTGGCTATGGTCCCAGCCCTGATAAAGGCCTTGTGTCGATCCCCCTTGGAGGGGAACCCAAGTCCTATATTTGACAAGATCCTCTCAGGTATTAGTTGATTTTCTTATATTTTTAAAAATTCACCTATCATTTCTTAGAGGTGTCATGAGTGAAGAAGACAGAAAGAGAAACTTAGGACCCAAAAATAGTCTGGCTGTCATGTTCTAGCACTTGCTAGTCTTTCCAGTTTATGTGGAAAGACTAGCAAGTGCTTTATACTCATCAGAAAAAATTTTCCCTATTGTTATGAATGTGTAAAAGCAATTAGATTTAAAATTTTGGGAGGAAACACAATCTAATGAAAATTTCATCTAAAGCAATAGCATGTGGGAAAGATAGTGTTGACAATTACTTATTTTGACTGATATGCTGTACTTATAAGGTTTAGGGTATGTTTGTGGATACATGGAATATTGTCAGATTCAGAGTAAATGTCATAACACACTTGGTGTGTTGTGCATCCTTTGCATAAATTTTTTGGCAGGTAGGCAGACACGTGTGCACACACATGTCCACTTATGTCCGAGGGTTTTCAGAAAATGTAACACCTGTGTGTGGAAATTGGATAGGCTCAGTTGAAAATGCAAGACTTGTGTTTTGTGAAAACCCTCAGTTGTAAGTGGACTTGCATGTGCATGCATGCATCTGCCAACCTGCCCAAGCATTGATGCAAAGGATACATGACACACAAAGTGTGAAACACCCTTGAGTGTACAGCCAATGTATTGAGGTGAGCATAAAATTCAATGCAATGAGTACTTCCTGATGGATGACTGATATGATCTAGGAAAATGATTATAATAGGAAAGAGAGTGATGAATGTCTTTCTCCTATCCCTGGTGAATCACTAGAATGGAGGAAGCATATCAGCGATCCTGGGAGAAGACTGATGCAGCCAGCTTTTCGTCTTCTGCAGGCAGTCCTAGAAGGTTCTCACTTGGCGCAGGAGTGTTTAGTACCTCATGCATTGCCAGAAACCTTAGCTTGCCTAGAAACAGCAGGCAGCCATCTGCAGACTCCTTTCTTGCTTGAGATGTTTGCCAAACTCATCACCTACTTGCCAGGGATGCCCCTCATGGGTGTGTCACCTTCCTTTTTAATACATTATCTTATAAAGAACGTTTTTGTTCCCTAAGAACCTCTATAAAATCCATGAGCCTAGAAATCCAGATTGATATGTAAAATAATGTATTTATCCCTTTCTCTTGCTTCACATTGATCTTCCTTGTATTTAGGATTTCAATTTTTTGGAGACTTGTGAAGTCTTAACCTATAGCATTCCACCTACTTTTAAAATGTTTTTCTCCTGATTTTTCCAGAGACTGAATTCCCAAGCAAAGCCTATTCATTCCTCCTGCTGTGCCTTCAAAAGAAACCTGATATAGGTGCTGCTGCATTAAAAGCCTTGAAGGAGCTTATCACTTGTTTGAATGATGTTCAAACTATTGGAACACTTGCTGAACATATATCTATGATGCTCCAGACTGAGAACTCTAATATCATGATGTGAGTCATTGCTTGTACTTTTTTCTGTTGGTACCAGGCTTTCTTGTGTGCAAGAAAAAAAAGTTTGAATGGAGTTCCAGTTACTGTATTTTCCACATTGAGTCTTTGTAGAATAATGAAGTCCATAGAAATGTAGCTTGTAATTGAATATGTTTACACGTTGACCAGGAAAGAAAAACTAAGCCAATAAAAAATTGATTATACAGACAAACATTGGAATTGAGAGAGTAATAGAATGTAATGATAACAAAATTAATGTTGCACAATGTTGCAAATTTTCATCTAGAAATAATTTTAGAAGCATAACACAAGAACATACAAGAACTATGGAAAAAAAAGTATAAAAGGTAAGTCTGAATCATGCCCCTGTCCAGTGGCTCTTGGAATTGAGACAGAAAGAGACAAGAATAATCTTTGCAACTTGATGACTGCAACTGTTGTTGGGTCTGAAGCATGGTTGAATTCTAGTGTCTCTTTAAATAGTAATATTTCTTAGCTCATTACTCATCCCATCTGGATTAACATTGGTTTTTTGATGCAAAATTCATCTGTCATCTATTGAACAAATCTGCTATCTCATTTTTGAAGATTTCTCTGTAATATCAATTTTCCATTGGTTCAGGTTTTTTTGGTCATCATGTATGTCATGGTCCCTAGCAGAGAATAGGTTCCTAAATCCTGGCATTTGTTGAAGTTAATAGTTATAATATGGATTTGTTCTTGTTGTATAATTCATACTGGTAATGCTTAATGTGGAATTCACCCAAGTGAAAAAAACGAGTGAGATATTATTTGTAATAACATGATTCACTTGTGGGAAAAATTGACAGTCACACCTTACAATTTTGGGAGGCCTTGCCATGGGTGAATTTTTTGTCATTTATTATTAGTTTATTGACTATAGCTTAGGCTCAAGGGCTATGGATATTTCAGTAGTCAATTTCTCCAAGAGTATGAGGACCTCTTTTTTTATTATTAGTCTGTGAAAATACAATTCTTTTCTGTGTAAAATTATGTAGGAACATGACTGAATATATCATGCTCCTTTGCTTGCAAGGACCTGAAGGAGGCATGAAATCATGGGGCAAACAAAGTATTAATTTCTCCTTCTGGTAGTGTGTTTTCATTTATTAGAATCCTTTCAAGAAGAAGAGATCTATTTCTAAACCATCCATTATCACATTTGTATTGACAACAGATTTGGAAATTTTGCACTTATTGCTGAGATTAGTAGCAGTGCATCCATTAACTGCAGTCATATGAACCTTGGTTGGGTGTCATCTATTTCATCACAGAGAGGAGGTATGTGCTTGTCTGGAGAAGATTGCTCAGAAGAATGTGAAATGCATCAACGACATCATCCTCCCCTCTCTTATGACACAACTACAGTTAACTTCAGGTCAGATTATATTTGGTTGTTGCACCAACAGATATACTTAGAAATAAGTCCTGGAGTAAACAATTATTTTTCTGCTCTTGTTTTTTTTAATGATAAACCTTTCGTTAGGGATGTCAAAATAACTTAAGCTAGTCCCTCTAAGGCAGAGTTGACCAAGTGTAATATGCCCAAGGGCCACATGAACTGATGTTTTCTACCTCTTAGATCTGGTGGAACTTCCCATCATCTGATCCCTTAGCAACTGAGAAAGCATGAAGGAAAGAGACACTTTTTCCATGAAAGTTATGAATCCTTTTGACAATATATGATATCTCTTGAGCAAAGAAAGTGATGCCAATAACTGTCAAGTGATGGGGGGGAAATGTGATGGAATAGCGATAAGCGATGGGAAAAAAATTGGATAAAAAATTATGGTGTCAATTACTTTTTAATTCCATATAATAACTATTAACTATTAGATGTAAAACCCATATCACTCTACCCTTATGATGCATATAACCATGAATCCTGGGGCAACATTAAACATGATGGTAATGGTATTAATGTGATGTGTAAGTTTGAGCCTCATTCCAGAGACTTATGAAAGAGTCTTTCCAAAAATTGTTATACATGATTCTTGTACAGCCTGTATTGCAAAGCAACCAACTTATAACATATACAGAGCAAATCAAAAGAATGCACCATAGAGAAAACACTATTGTAACAATTGCTCAAATTTTGCACCACCATTGACCTTGGATGCCCATTCTTTCCTTAATGCTGTACATAGCCATTGCTCTGTACTAGATCACCTGCAATAACACATTAATGTTTGATTATGTACTGTCCCTTTGGTGTGTATTTTCTGCATCACTTTGTTTAATCTGACTTTAATAGTAGCCTTCCTCATTGGGGTAAGTCTTATGCTTATGCAATTGAGGATATTATAGTATTGAGTGTATGGTAGGGTTACTTTATTCTTGGGCATTTTTTGAAAAATTTGTGCAGGTTAAATGAATGGTTGGAAAGAACACATGGGATGTTGCATTTCTATTTCAGGTGATGGGGCAGAAGGGACAAAGTTAGGAAAACTTTTGGCTGCTTGTTGCATGGAGAAGGATCCTGCAAAGATGGCATTCCCTATACTGTCCTCAAATGTGTGCTCTTCCATCATGCACCTCAGTGAATGTGGCACAAGTATGTCACTCTGTTCCCACCTCCTTGCTGTCATGGAAGACATGTGCCTGTCGCTTGCCGATTCGAATACGTCTCAACTACTGTCTGACTTTGATGTCATGGAGTGCATCCTCTCATCTTTCTTTGCTATTTGTGAGAAACAAATCCCAAAGGAAGAAGTGTTGGTGAAAGGAGGAGACTGCATAAGAGCCTGCATGCTTCTATATCCGTCAGGGTAAGTTTTAACTCCTTTTTCTCCTTTGAGCTAACTTGTGTGTCATAGCTGTAGATCTTACAAGTGCTGGACATATAGGATGGACTATAAAATTCATACCATATCTAGGTTTTCTATTTCTGCATGTGTAAGAAACATAAATTTAAAAAAGACATGATACCTATAGCTTGGGTTCTCTTTGGTTGTCTGTCTTGAGTGTTTCAGCTAGACACCTCTCCAAGTCACACGACTCAATGCTCAAAATCCCGACTAGCAGTAATTAGATTAATTATTGTGTGTGGAGTGTGCTGGAAGTAAATGTCCAAAATGACATCCAGTAACTTGGATCAATTTGGACTGATGCTGCAAGAGAAGTAGAACAATGTCCCATCCAGTGCAGTTGATCTGTAGGCTTAAAAATATTCTGTGAATACTTACAAGGGGTATTTGTGTCTCATCAACATTCAATTCATTCAATTGGAAAATATTAGTACAAGAAATATAGAATATGATTAGGTGTGAATATTCATGGCCCACCCTGTATAAACTACACACTCATAGTCCTTAGAACTTAATTATTTCATGCATGTCATTGCACAAAATATATCTACTTGTGTGTTTGATAATTTAATTCAATGTATTCTTGAAAAGTCTTCCTATAACTTAGGATACTTATTCTTCCCCAGAGAATTTTTGTTTGAATAGACCCATTTTTGATTAAGTGTATTTGGTATTTTCAATGATGAACCAATGGTCCGCAACTTGGAATGAACCAAAAGTCTTACCATGGCTTCTCTTTCATTGACCTGTTAGGCTACCAAATTTGATGTTTGTTTTATTGCCTATCATACATTCCCTCATGCTTATTGCTTCACCATCTATTCAGCAATTAATATAATTATTAGATGGTCATAAATATAGGCTGGGGCAGTCTAACAGACAGCAAGTCATGTTGACTTTGGCACAAATCTTTAGCTTTGTGTTTGGGTTGTTCTTTTTTTTACTGTCCTCAGCAATTCCCTCTTACTTCTCTCTGCATTCATTGACATGTCAACCCAGGGAACAGATGAAAATCTTCTAATTGTTTGCTGGTGATGAACTGATAGATGACACTCAGGATGTGACATTTTAAGCATTCACAACAGAAGCTAATTTTTTACTTACTCTGATAGACTTCAATGGGAAAATTTGTTTCCCCATTCTCAGCTGTGTGTAATTTTTTCCCCAAGCATTGTTGGTTCCTCTGACCAAATCTTTTGTGAATATTCTTTTACATAGTCTCTTCCCTAGGCTATTTGACATAATATTAAGCTCCTTATATGATGTCTTTTGCTCCTTATCTCTTTATAGGAAACTGGAGATAATGTTGAGTGGCCTTGTGAGTTTGATCCTAGAGGGACATTCCAATGGCTCCTTGTCATGGTTGAATGAAGGTTCATCAAATGTTTTCCCTCTGAAAAGTTCTGAACAAGCTCTTGCTGTGGTAAGTTTGGGCTGGGCTTTGGTTGCATCTAGAATCGAGATGCAGCCTTGTTTACAAAAGTAAAATTAATTTTTTCCCAATTTGTTGCAGTTGCTTGTTATGGAACCACTTTTGTGCCACTCATTGCTCATCAAAATCTTGAAGTCTGTGGAACAGTTTAACAACCTTGTGGACATCATTTGTCAGCTTTCATTCACTTCTTCAGTCTCACTTTTGGAAAATCCGAGTCCTAGGATTCTTGCCTGCATCCTCAACAAGTCACCTGCAGGTAGTGTCTCTTGAAATATCTTCGTAGTGCCCAAGCATAAACTTTTCTATATCTGTCATCCAAGATGGCAGATAATCTGTATTTCATTCTACTTTTATTTTATCATAACTATAATTAAGGGTAGTTATTGCAATTTTTTAGTTCTTAATATCTGTAGTAATTTTGCTCATTTGCTAGCAAGTCATTGAAATAACTGCTTCCTTTGCTAATATTAAAAATTGGTGGCTCACAAATGTGACCCACAGATATTATGAGGATGCTTCTGGAAGGATCTCCTTTCACCCCAGTGACTTTGCTTCTCTGTCCTTTCTCCCTTTTAGATTATCTCCAAAGGGCATTAACAGTGGTTGAATCCAAGGCAAAAGATGGTATGAACTCCTGTGAGACATTAGATAGAAGAAAGAAGAGTCTGAACTTGTGGTGTTGGACAACAGTTGCAATCTCTCTTCGATCTCATGGAGAAGCATCTTCTCAATGGCTCTCTCAAGTGAGTAATTGCTTTTGCCCACCATAAGAGTATCAGGATCTCAGATCTCCTCTTGAGGCCTCTTGATATGGGTTCTTAATTCTGTGAGACAGTCATTGGTGCCTCTGCTTAGTATCATGCTTAGCATGGATGATTGATGTTTTCTGCATCATTCAACAATTGTGGGAAAAGAAAACAAAGGCAAGTAGATGATCAAGGAAAGAACATTTGCTACTCTGCTGAAAAATTTTTCAGTTGTCTTTTAAAGAGAATATTGCACTTTTCCCCCTTGGGGAAGGGATCTTCTACTTACTCAGTAGTCTTATAGGAAGACCTCATCTTGGACACTCATTGTTGTATGTTCCACATTTAATACTGTAGGAGTTGTGTGAATCATAATATTCTATTCTTTATTCATATTCAAGCTGATAGAGGTGTTGGATGATAGAGAACTGGGCAGCGAAGCAGCAGGGAAATTCTCTCTTTTTAGAAATATCAGGACCAAGTATCTGAACCAAGAGAATGGGGCAATTGTGAGGTGAGATCCTTATCTCTATTTCCCTAATAATGTGCATGAGATGGGGCATTTGTTTATCCATTTCACTCCATAGGATTTCTTTGGCAAATTTGGAAAATTTTTCAGATTTTCTGGATAGTGTCTATATGGTCAGTCTATATGACAGTGCCTTCATCAACTTAGTTTCTTTCCAAAAAGTGCATCAGCAATAATTCAGCACAGAGAATTAGATTTTTACTTAATTGCTTGGAAACCTGAATATTAGCTCATTTTAAAATTAGATTTATATTGAAATTGCCTTGATGACTGTAGAGGTTTGCTTACATCAGTGTCAAACTTTCATTGATGTTTGCAACTTTAATTTTTTTCTGAAAAATCTCAAAAGTGAGAAACTTGACATCCATTTGTCCTAGAAATGATGAATTCAAATTTTTTTAGAACAATTGGTGAAAATTTTTAATGCAGCAGAGAAGCATAATGAACTCATTATTATGCCATCCCCTCTTCCAACCATCTGCAATGGTACCCTGTGGCATCCTTTTCTATTCTCTTCATATATGACAATGCGTTCTAAGGAGGCTCATAACAGGACTAGCCTTTGCCCAGCTTGTATTATTACTTTCTTGCTCTTGTGTATTAATTTTTGCCAGTGTCTGCAGCTACGCAGGTACAAAATTGACATTGACAAATTCCACTCTTCACTATTCCTATGAAGGAGGACTCCCTGTCACAATGTTTATCTTCTGCTACTTGATTCTTTCTGGGATGGCACTTCTCCATTATTTCTTGGTAACCTAATTTCACAGGATGCCACCTTGTATCTAATGAATGATGATTAGAAACCTCTTCCCCATAATACTAAATATCCTGATGATTTCCACTGAAACCCCTTCGCAATAATGCACTCTGTTTATGGCCAAGTTCATGTTGTAGAAAAACATTGATCTTTGATTCAGTATAGAACATCTGACATCTCCTGCAAGAATATCTGCAGGGCAATGGACAATTGTCTGATGCATCCATGCTGCCCACTGCTCCTTGAACCCTCAAGTTTTTTTTTGGAATGGTATTAGAATCAACATGTTCACTGTGGGACCAAATTGCTTAAAGCAATTTGGTGGGGATCTAATGATTTAGTTCAGGTGTGTTTGGGGGCCTCACTAATGAATCTCATGCCACATTTTTAATGCAAACAAGTGAAATTTGCAGCAATATTCCAAAATCAACTGTTACAGAGGAATTCATGGGTTGGAAAAAATGAATTGGCTGGTCAGATTCAGCCCATGGGTCATGGGTGCAGAGATAGGAAGCCATATGGCTTCCTATCTCTGCATCTTGCATTGGGAGTATCCCTCTGAATGAATTCTGTTTACAGTTAGGTAATGGCAGCAGCATATCATTGACTTTCATTCATTCCTTTTTGTTTGCAGTCCCCTACACAAGCAAAGGATATTTGTTACTGTCCTTCCCCATCTTGTTTCTGGGGTCCAAGAGAGGCAGAGTCTGAATCATCTCTCTGCATTATCATGCCTCATAGAAGGTGTCCCCTCACAAGTAATAACTCAGCATCGGGAACAGGTAAGCCTTTTCCTGTTGCATGCTCCTTTTAAAGGTGCTTATCAGCATATTCTATTTAACTGATTCCAGAGTACATCCAGAAAATAAGTGAGCTGAATGAAATCAAGATATCTGAAAGTAGTCTGCAAGGGCCTCTGGAAGTGAAGGCATCTGCAAAGTCCTTTAATCCTTAAAGGGTGACCATTAAATTAAGTCTGCTATAAATTAATTTTTAGCTAATTTCTTGATGCAAACTGATTATGTTCATGCTTTCAACAGTACTGGTCATTTTAAGGTATTTTTGTGCATGTCTCTTTGCTGCTTTATTTCTTTGCATGAAGTTCATCAGTTCTTCTTACATGACAGAAAAGTGCCTTTTTACTGTTACATAGACTTTCCTTATAAACTAAATGAAATGGGGAGATGATTGCAGTGGTCCAACCTCATGGATGGGGTCAGAACTTCCTCCTTCCCCTGACTCAGCAGCTATCTTCCAATCCTCCTGTAATAGTGAACATGTCTGCTGCTACCATTCATCCCGTAGTCTTGAGGCCTATACTCATTCTACACCCCTGTGGACATGGCAAATTTACCCTACTGCTTATAAACCCCACTCAGCTGGCTGACCCCTATTTCTTTCTTCTTGGTCTTGCCACTGTGCCATTTTCAAGGAAATATTGGATCTCTGGTGCATCCGAAGAGACTTTAAATGCATCAGAGATCCAATTTTCCTCTTTCAACTAGTGGGGAAAAAAAGTGGAGCATTCATTGATAGTGGATAAAATGGTAATAGAGATGAAGGTGCACATGCTATTTGTAATTGAAAAATCTTGATGAATGCTGTTCATATAGTTACTGAACGAAGTATTGAGCTATATCTGGCAAGGAATAAATGGATGAATAAGTTCTACCCAAATTTGCAGCCTCCTTATTTACTCACACCTTATTGCAGTGTTAGACAATTCCCAATAAGACAGAAATTATATATTCTATTTGAGGTTGTGTTCCTTTTTGCTTATTAAAGTTTCTCTCTGACCAACTTTCATTTGATTTATCCTGGAGTGCATTTCTGCTTGTTCTGTCGTAAGAAGTTTCCTTATGCAGGTAACCAGTTGCCTCGTTCAAGCTTTGAAAATGCTACCTGAAGGGGACACGCTCTTATGCCTGAATGCATTGGGGCTTATCCTGGGTGACTCTGCTGAGGCCATCCTACCATATATCTCAGACACAGTTCCACTGTTATTGAAGCTTGCCAGCTTTCTGCCTTCAATGGTGAGTCTTCTGTCATTGATCCTTGTCCTTCTCACTGTCCTCAGCAACTGGTACAGTGCCACAGTCATTTCAACTGCAGGGCTACATGCACCAGACATGAGAAACTTCAAACCAATCTATTTTTGTGATGGACTGCTATGGGAATTTGTTTAACTTGGTTAATGTGGTTCCCATAGAAATTAAATATGAAATCATATCAGTTTAAGTTCATCAAATCTATGACATGTCACCCACAGTGTCCATGTCAGTGCTAATAGATGGACTTCCTATTTGTATTGGTCTGTTATGCTCCAAGTTTCCCAGAATTTTTGCATCAAGTGCTCAATATTCCTTAGATAAGGGGCCTTGAGGTTGAGTTGCTGAGTGGGACCCTATTATGTGAGGCATCACAATGCTATAGGACAAAGAGAATTGCTTTAATTGCTTTATTTTTGATAATGTCCATTTTGTACATGAAGATGACTGTACTGTAGTACTTCAAGTGCTTGAGTTCGCATTACTTTTCTTATTTTATGTCTTTCAGCAAGTGCGGATGGGTGCCCTGAAATGCTTGCATTCCATTACTTCTTTGGAGACTCTTGAAACACTCCAGCTCAAAAGTCAGGTAACTGGATTTTTGAGCCATGGTACTTACTCCCTTCTGTCACATTGGGGATGCATGACATAATGCAATCTCATTGCAATTGAGTCTGATGTGCACTATGTTGTTACTGCAGAAGATGCTTTCACATATCAGTACAAGTCTGCAATGCATCCTCTACGCCAGTGGTTCTCAACCTTCCTTTTACTCCCATTGAACCTTCATGCATTCGGGGGGGTGACACCTCCCAGGTTGAGAACCACTGCTCTAAGCAGTTCCAGACTGCATATATACAGTTTAGCAATTGCAGGTTTATTTCCACCATCATGCCACTTGTTTTTCTCATCATTGGACTTTTCAATAATATACAAAGTGGGCCACAATTGTCTCCCCAAAAGTAAAAGCTCATTACTCAGGAAGTATACATCCAATTTCAAAGATATGTGATTCAAACGATAGCCACTTCATTATATTTTTACAGTGGAAATTTTCAGCATTCCATTTAAAAAAACAACAAAGTTACACCATAACAAATGAAAGTACCCATATTGTGTGACTAAAGCCAGTAAAAATCACAATACCTTCTAAAATTCACGATTCATTCATGGGTTTTTCATACAACGCAAGGGATTGTCTGTGTTATGGGTGACCTCAGTATCCTGCAGAAGATGAATATTGCCATTTGGTTAATAAATTGAAGAGAGCAAATTTATGCAAGGAAAAATCTGGAAATTTCTTCAGTTCAGGTCCAAATGCCTCAGTTCCTGATGAAATCATGAAGGCAATTCATAAGAGGTTTCTGAACCTGAAGAGATACATCGGCGGACCTATGACAACCTAGAGATGCCTTCACCACAGTAGACCTAGAGATGAATGAAAGAATTCTGCTGGCATTCAAAAAAGAGACTGCACCAAGTCATTGAAACTTGTGGAAGTCGCATTGAACACTAATGATTTGGGGACTTTCATTTGTAAGGATGTAACTTTGGTGGAGTTTCTTATGGAATGCTGACATTTCCTTCAATAAAAATATTTTGAATTGGCTATCGTTTGAGTTTGATATCATTGAAATCGGATGTATACTTCCCAAGTAATAAGCTTTTACTTTTGGGGAGGCAGTTGTGGACCACCCTGTATATTAATTCTTCTTTTTCTGTGAATAGCTTAAACCTCTCCTTTTAAATTACTGTCATGTGAACACAATGTGATGACTTCAGTGACTATAAACCACACATAGAGAAGGGTATTGGTGAAGCACCTTTCATGTGAAAAATCACCTTTTCATATGCTCAAGTTCTGAAATGTTGTTTTTCGAGGAATTTCTCAAGAAATCTCAAGAAATTTCAAGGCACTCTGTGAATTCATTCTCTGTGAAGGAAATACTAACTAGGAAGCTACAATAAACTGATGCTCATTAAACTTACCTGTTTTACCTGAGCTGTTGGTGTGTTGTGACTATGGCAAATAGTGAACCTCTTGCAGATATACCATAGGGTGGAGTGATGGTAATACCCACTTTTCAACATCCATATTAGTCATTAAAGGCAATTCTTTGCGACTCTTGCCCTCAGGTGCTGAAAGACCTGGCACCCTGCTTGGACGACAAGAAACGACTCGTCCGAAGAGAAGCTGCAAATGCACGCTGTCGATGGTTTCTCCTTGGATTCCCGTCTTCCAAGGCCCCGTCCTGAAGATGACAAATTCTTGGCTCTCCTGGTTGTCGTGAAAGTGTCAGTGTTGGAAATATACTCACTGTGCTTCATGAGTACACTTCACAGTGTACCTGATGGATTTCAGGCCTTTTATTTTTTCAATTAGTGTAATGTTCATCAACATCCACTAGTAAGCAGACTTAAAAAAAAAAATTATAGACGAGGATGAGGATGAATTATGCCACTTTAGCTCCAGGGAAAATCTGTGCAGTTGAGAATGCATTCCTGATAATAATAAAAATCTCATGCTATAAAATGAGATCTGAAACTCATTCAGGAACATGTATTGATTTGGCCCCATTCTTCCACTCACCCAGATTTTCTTTTCATCCAATGCTACAGATTAGGAGAGCTAGTCTATACACCAATATGTCCCATTTTAGTTCAGCTATTAGCTTCCTTGTCAACTGGTTCTTTTGATATGAACAATTGAAAAAATATGGAATATTTCTTCCATATTGAAGCAAGTACCAAATATATATATTAATATATATATATATTTTTTAAGATGGGGACATGGAGCATCAGTGTGTCTGTTTGTTTATGTGGGCTTGTTTCAAGAGAAGGGTAAGGGTCAATACTAGGGCGTTGCGGTATACCGGTATTTTCATCATACCGCGGTATTCGGTTCTCATGGTCATCACACTGATCCCTTCTACGTTTTTCGGTATTACCGCCACGGAATAAAAACCGTGGAATACCGTCCACGTTCATACCGACGCCACGGTATGGATACCGTCTCTCATACCGTAACCACGGTATGGATTGGGACACCGCCTCTCATCATACCGCCGCCACGGCGCCATACCTGAAGAGCTATTTCTAAAAATAAAATACATTGTCAACTATCCTCCCCATCTCCATCCACGGTAACGCCCACCGCCCGGGGAAAACCGAAACCTTCCTGGAAGTCTCGGAGTGCATTTCATCTTAACCCCAAGACCAAGATCCGTAATCAGTGGGTTCGACTTGCGCCTTGACTGTGCCCTCTGCTCTGTGTGCCTGAGCACTCAATATCTTTGCCATGTCTTCCGAGGATGCGGGAGTAAGGCCAGGCCCAAGTAAGCCTGGGCATGCCAGCAGAATCCATTCATTTGGGTTGAAACGGACGAATCCCCCTGCCATTCAATCGAATGACATGAATAAGGATGTGCGACTAGCTCGACGCCATCACACTAGAAAGATTCCCCCCTCTTTGTGGGGCTTTTTCTGGGAGATCGTAACTGAGGCGGCCCCCCCCCCCCCCCCCCCTCCTCCACCCGCTTCTCGACGGTATCACCGGTATACCGCGGTATTGAGTCATGGTATACCTACCGTGGAATTCAGGGCATACCGCAACGCCCCAAGTCTATACTTAACTTTGAAGTATAAAGTTGGACATTCAATCAAAAAACACTTGAGTCTCATGAATCAGCCTCAATTTATTGAAGATCTTCATGGAGAGACATAAAAACTCGAGTTAATGTGGTCTTTATTGTATGGAAGAATCTGTTATCTCTCATTCCTCCCTATATTTGCTGAAAGCGCTATCTTCCTACAACCGACAGAACGAGACATATATATATTTTTCCGTTGGTTGTGCTAATATCCTGTGGAATTTGGAAAGAAAGGGGGGGCAAAATGGCCATTTTTCCCCCCCTCGAAGCATCACAGTGATAAACTACCACCCCAACACTTTCAAAGACGTGCCTTTTTGGGTTATGTAACTTGCTTATTACAAAATAGTTGTAACTTAGTTTGCATGACCCAAACCCTACTTCTGTTATGCTATACAATACGGGTCCACAAAAAAACCACGACGCATCCTACGTTCGGTTGCCGTAAAAAAAAAAAATACAATTCGATTCATAAACATTGCAGGATTCAGGAAAAAATGTCCATGAGCCATATTCCTTTGTATCCACTCGTCAGAAATGCCGTGGAAACTCAAACTTATGACTTGTGCGCATCCGTGAAAGAAAACTGGAAATAAGAACGATGCGGGGCGTTCTCTTCATATTTAAAAGGTTTTGCATGGACTTCAGGAATTTTTCGATCGTGTGTAAATTTAAATTTTTGATGCCGCGAGCGAAGAAATTAATCATCACAGTGAGAAACCCAAGAAACAAAACTCATGGCAATATCTCCAAACTTGCGATTTTTCCCGCACGAACGACGCTGACCGCGATTCCATTTTTATACAAACACACTGGCAACCCAGACCCCAGGACTCACACAAAACTCGAAAAAAAAAGGAAGAGCGGAAAGGGAACGCCAACAGCTTCACGCGTGTGAAACACGACCGTCTCTGTAATGCATCCCTCGCCGTTTCTCCGCGACGACCCGGGAAGTCTCCGCGGCCGCATCGGCAAGGGCGCATAGAGCGAGGTATACCCTGCATCTTCCGAAGAGGAAAGCCACTTCCGCGGCGGAATCGACCGCGTACAAAGTCGTTTCGGCCCGGCACCGCGAAAGAAGCACGTGCGAACGCGAAGGCCATCCGATTCCACCGGGAGTGGCGGGAGCGCAGAAGGACGACACGAGGACACGAAAGCGGCGACATCTCTCTAATTCCAGCGGAAGTAGGACCGATCTCGACACCCGCGGAAGGTGCCGCACCATCTCTCGTCCACGAGACTCGGGCAGGGCTTCCCTCCCCTCCTCGGGTGCTTGAGGACCTCCCGCTTCCGCGTCATCTCCCCGATCCCGCAGGACTTGCTGCAGGTGCTCCACTCCGTCCACTCGCCCACCCGGCAGTCCCTCGGTCGCCCTGCCGGATCATACGTTCCGCTTAGCATTGCTTCTCGTGGGAGGGGGAGCTCAGGAGTGCCACGTGATCGTCGCGCTCTCGTGGCGTTTGTGAAGTCGTCGAGAGAGGCTGGAAGAACTGCCGTGGAATGTCTTCCAAAAAATCGCGATGCTTGTAAG